TAACGTTTGACCGCAGCTGCACTGTTTTGTGTCACACACTCATACACCTCATGCCCTTACCTTTTTCTTACGCTCAAATATACCTTTTTTTTCTTTGCTAAAAAACGCTCAATCATACTTTGAGTTGTTCTTTTATCCTTCTTTACGTGCACGAAGCTAGTCAAAGTTCAGAATTCTTGTTTTCCACCTTTGATATATTTTTATATAGACGCACCACGTCAAGAGGCATGCTTGTGTTTTGTCCCTTGAGGCTTAAAAACAAACATTATGAGGAAATTCGTAAACGTTCATTCTGGGATCAAAAGATATTTAAAACACACACAAAATATATTTAAGATAGGTTCTTAGAAAAACATCAACTTATATATATACATAAATAACTATATTACTTAAACATTATGGATTGCTGAGGCTATAAATGCACACTCCCGCGGATAGCCGATCCCAAAGGCCAAACGCTCTTGGAAATACAAAACCTGCAGCTGCAGTAGTGCACTTGAGTGAACAAACAAACCTATTCTTCATTGCTCACATTCAAAATTAACCAACATGAAAAAGAGTGAATTCTCATCAAAGGATACCTTATCTGGCCATTTCCACAGCCATAACGACAACCAAGTGTTCATTAATTTCCGGGGAGAGGAGCTACGCTGCAGCTTCGTGAGCCACCTTGTTGAGTCATTTAAAAGACATGGAATCAACTTCTTCATAGACAAAGATGAACAGAAAGGGAAAGACCGGAAACATCTCTTTGCAAGGATCAAGCAGTCGAGGATAGCTCTGACTATATTCTCAAGAAGGTACGCAGAGTCACGCTGGTGCTTGAACGAGCTAGCGAAAATATCGAAAAGAGCCAATAAACGCAAACTACAAGTGATACCCATCTTCTTCAAGGTGAAGGCCGCATCTGTTAGATACCAAAAGGCTGAGTTCGGTCGCAAGTTCTGGAGGTTAGCTAAGAGTTCAAGCGGGGAACAGATCATGAAATGGAAGGAAGCTTTAGAGTCTGTTTCTGACAAGATGGGCTTGTCGTTAGGCGACAAAAGGTACCTTACTGGCCACCCTTAAAAATAAACCTGCTGCTGTCATTTTTCAGGTTTCTATCGTCGCTTTCCCTTCTGTTAAAAGTCATGGCCCGCTGAACCAGTTACCTGAAAAGTAAAAATGATTGTTATAACAGAACAAACAAACCGTCCATCAGTGAAACTCTGTAGACTAAACTACTTTTATTATTTGCAGCTCTGAGGCTGATTTTATAAAGGAAATTGTTAAAGAGGTTAAACGAGTTGTCGCGGTTAAGAAAATGGAAGACCATTCCTTCTGTCTTCCCCATAATAACAGAAGACATTACCCAACAGGATCAAAATCCAACCAAAACTATGTATAATGAACAAATTTGATTTTTTTTCTTTCTATTTCCATAAATGGTGTGTCATAGTAACAGGGCTTTTGTGTGATATTGGTTTACTACATTCAGGAAGTGATCATATATATTTTGTTACTGTAATAAAACCTATTCTATACAGGGATATAACTCAAGCTTAATTGGAATGTTTCCAACTCCTACCCAAAAGACAACGAAAAGATAATTATAGCAATGAAAGAAAAGGTCAGCATTTAGCAAGGCCATGTAGTTATTCACCCATCAAAAAACAAGAAATGGCAATCTTTTAACAATACTAGTTTCTTCTTGTGACTTGCATAAGATCGTCATGAAGGGCTCAAACTAAAGATTCCTAACTTTCAAACTAGAAGATAAAATATATGTGAAATAGAAATCAGAGAGTAGGTTCAAACAATACCCTTATCACAAGGCAGCAAAAGATGAGAGGGCTTCCGTTTTGTCCACACTTCTCCTGCGAAGAAAAAGACGACCAAAATTAATTGCAGAGATCGTGGAGACGCACGTACACCATTTAAATTAAGAATAATCCATATAAATAAAACTGCGAGCGGAGTTTATGGTGTGGTATTACGTTCTGCATGAGGATTGGCCATAATGGCCTTTAAAAAGTCGTATTTTTCAAATGATAAACTGGACGGATTAGTGTTTCATGCAGCTAGCTAAAAATGCATCCAAATAGATCGAATAAAAATGATTCAAAGATACAAATAACAATTTGAGACTCCAACAAAGGGAGCAATACCCAGTTCAGAAAGATTTAAATCGCTTGCAGTCATAAATACTGACATGAAACGTAAGAAAACAAAGAGAAACTAAAATCAAGGAGAAAATAGAGTCAAAGTTATCTCCAAATATTACCTATGCTGAAGAAAACAACCTCTGATGATTAAAAGACAAAGTTTAGCTCGTATATCCAGGAACAAACAGTTAGGTGTCATCTGTTTCGGTGTTCTTTTGAAGCTCTATAGAGCTCACTGACTACTGACTTGTAAGAGGCCAAGTCAGCTACAGTCCCTATCTCTGGTTTCGGTTTATAACGTTTCGATGAATTCACAAGTCTATGGTGACCTTCCAATAGTATGTTGTATGTGATGTCGTCAGGAACAACCCCTATATTAAGCATAGCATCTAGCAACATGTCAGCATTCTTCATCTGTCCCAATTTGCAGAGTCCATTCAGCAAAACATTATAAGTCACAACACTAGGAATGTGCCCATCGCTCTGCATTTCCTTGAGCAATTTAAAACCGATTTGAACATCACCTTTCTTACAGAATGCATCCATCATCATTGTATAGATGACATCATCTGGCTTCATACCAGCTCTCAACATCTCCCTCAAAGCTCTTTCAGCATCAACGACCCTTCCTTCTTTGCACATTCCACAAATAAGAGCTGAAAACCCCACCCTATCCAGTTCTATCCCATTCTGATCCATTTTCTTCCGTATCTCCAACGCTGCATCTACATCGCCTCCACTACAAAACCCATCTATAAGAGTTGTGTACGTAACTTTGTCAGGCCTGATACCTCTGTGAATCATTCCATCAACAACATTCCTTGCAGCCACCAAATCCCCGTTCTTGCAAAACCCATTTACCAAAGTATTATACAAAACAATATCAGGCTGAAGACCTCTACTCAACATCTTCTGATAACTTTCCTTCATCAAATCAATCCGTCCGTTCCTACTATGACCATGAATCAAAGTAGTAAAAATAACATCATTCGGAACCAACCCTCTCTCACACATCTCGTCAAATAACCCATTCGCTCCATCCATTTGATTCTCCTTACACAACGCATTAATCAAAGCACTATACGTGAAAACATCACCCCGTGTTCTGCCTTTCTCCATACGCTCTTTGAGCCTAAACCCTTCATCCAAGTTTCCGTCTTTACAATACCCATTAATCAAAGTATTGAAACTAACAACTGTAGGCCGCAAACCCCTCTTAGTAATTTCGTCGAACACCTTCTGCGCATCACTCATTTTCCCTTCTTTACAAAACTTGTTCATCAAAATATTGAAAACATACACATTTAACGGATAACCACCGTCCAAAATCTCCATATAGAAACCCCAAACAGTCTCAACTGGATTCACCTTCATCATCCGATCAAGCAAGTTCCCACATCCACGAACCGGAGCCACAAACTTATGCTTCCGAGATAGCCTGAAGCATTGAATAGCATCTGGTACGAACCCTGCGTTTGTGTACGCGATCATCAACGCATCAACGAGGAAATCGCTTCCTCTCGTTTCTAACAGAGCAGCGAAAACGGAAGAAGCTGAGTTTTTGCCTTTACGAGAGACGACGAGGGACATGAGTGACTGTGCTTCGTCGAACATCTTGTGGATAGCGAGGAAGCGAGCCATGGAGAAGTAGGAGTCGATGGTGAATCGGAATCCAGGCTGGGAGGTGATGAATTTGAAGAAAGCGAAGATGGAATTGTGAGGGAGGGAGAGAGGGTTGCGGTTGATGAGATCGGTAACATGATGAGCCCTGAGAGAAGGCAGGAGGTTAGTGATAGAGGGAGAGTTTGAATCTCTGATTGCAGCTGAGAGTTTGAGGAGAATTGGGTCATCATCGTTGTCGTGTGGTTGTGGAGTAGAGATAGATTCAGGAGAGTACCATGTCGATAATGTACGAGGAAAATGTTGTTGGTTAGATCGAGAGAGTGTGCTTCTTAGAATTTCGACTTTGAACATCTCTTTCTCCGGCGCTGAGACTATTTCGAGACTTGTTAGTTTTTAAACGGTGGAAGAAAATAAACGGCCAATATCCCGGTTTTGCGTAACCGGGAATCAGATAATCAGGTCCGGTCCGCTTTAGGTAGTTTGCAATTTCCCAGTTTAATATCTTCTGTTTGAACAGGTCTGTTCAGTAAATGAGTGACATGACTCGTCGGTGGATTATTTCAAAGACATCTTCTTACTATTTAGAATCAAAGCTGTAATCTATTTGATAAGAGAGTTTGATTACAAATGAGGAAATGAAAGGCGAGGAGAGTCTCGCGGGGAGTTCGACCATGCCGTACAAGTCGGAAAAGAAACAAAGGAGTGAAAATCCAAGTTTTAGCCACCTTGTGTGTGAGAGTAATTTCCGATCCCTTCTTCGTTCGTTCCTCTCTCCCTTTTATAACAGTTACGCCTTAACCTAGCAGATTCATCGCGGCTCCCGAGGACTTTCGCCAAATAGGCCTCGGTTGGCCGTTAGTTTAAACACTTTGCATAAACCTCCTTAACTCAGCTAATCGCAGAGATTAATCGAGCTAAGTTCAATCAATCACTGATTAACGGAAAGCTCTTTTGTTGAACCTGAACTTGTTTGGACTGAACTCGTTATTATATGGGTCTGGTGAGAAAGTGTATTCCACCACCTACATCTTCCCTCAAATTTAACTACTGTATGTGCAATGATTCGTGAATGGCATAAGAGCAGCATTATATCGAAACAACTAAGTAGGAGATTGTAAATGTTACTAATTTTAATAAAAAGAGGGATAAACTTATGATTAAGTCGGGAAGGCATCATAGAAACATTGTAACTGTAGCTGATAAACATGAAGAACGCACAAATACTAGCTGGAAGAAAACTGCCAAAAACAATCTGAGCAAAACCACTGGAGGAAGAAAGGAAGAACTAATAGCCTCCCTTGAGATCGTTGACGACGTCGTAGGGGATAGGAGTGACAGTCTCCAAGGTCATACCCTCAACCATGAATCCTGGTTTGGGTCCTTTAGGCTGTCTCTTGGTGCTTATAGTCTCGCCTCTGGCTTTAGCTGCGGTCTTAAGCTCATCATTCTTCTTCTTCCTCAGCTTGAACTCCTCAGCACACCTTGACTGCTGCACATGCTCCACACGCACATGAAGCCTCTTCTTTATGATCCTGTTTCCAATCTGAAATACGCCCACCAAATATACATATGTTAGTCAATCATGTTACCCATTAAGATAGGAAGGCGAATATACTAATGTTTATGGTTCACTCTTGTGAGCCAAACTAACAGCACCGCGATAGTCTTGAAACGATCATCATACTACTCCAACCAAGATATGCTTTGCAATACCACATACTATCAGTTGCGACATAGAGGTTAATGATTGTTTGTGATTGATTCGAAGTCAGCATTCATGAAGTCGTGAATCCGAAGTATTCATTCAATCAATGAATGTAACTTACGGGACTGAAATGAAACTCTGAATGATCCTAGAAAAGACTTTAAATGCAAATGCAACACAATGCATATTGGTAAAGCTGAAGACCAAAAAAAAACTAAGCAATTATTACTTCTCAGGCAAGTTCCAGGCTTCCAGCACAAATAACATAAAAAGCCTAATAAAAAAAACAAAACCTTTTGAGACAAATCTCAAAACCTGAACTAAGTAGTTGTTGCACATTTCCTCATAAAAATCAATAGATTCGACTAAACTTAGATTGCACAATAATCTTAAATCAATGTTGAGTTGCTCAGACCTGTTTGTTGAGTTCGACACCGACGGCGCGTTTGGTGACGTTCCAGACACGACCGGTACGACCATGGTAGAACTTGTGAGGCATACCCTTGTGTATCGCACCGTTCACTTTCACATCCACGTAATCTCCCACCTTGAATGTCCTGAGGTATGTCGAGAGTGGGATTGTACCCTTCTTCCTGAATCCCCTCGCGAACAGATCCCTCGTCCTCGCACGAACTCCATGTCCCGCCGGCATTTTTCCTCTTTGGTGGATGCGGCAAGTGAAGACCTAAAATCGCCGAAGAAGCAAACTGAGAGAAAGGCAATGATTAGTATCTCTTCTGAAATTAGGGTTTCTTCTCTAAACGGGCTTGTTGGGTCAAAAGGTTGGGCTTAATAGACCCATTTAATTCAAAGATTATTGATTTCTTACTAATTAAAACAAAGCCCCTGCATTTTGAACTAGTATATGGTTTAGTTCCAAACTAATATAAAACTCAAATTACACCCAGCTATGTAGTTGTTTTATGTAGCCATTTTGTAATTTCTAATTGGTGTTGACAGGTTTGAACTAAGAAAAGAAAATTACAAGTAGAGAGAATAATACTTACAAGATCATAACAACAGTGTTTCTTTGTTTTAGAATTTAAGATACATGAAACTACTTAATTCATGAATAGAAAACTTCCATCTCTACAACCACACTGCCCAGCTATGAGTTCTGAAGCATCATCTCTCTCAAGATGGTGGCTTTATAAACTCACCCAAAGACTCCATCTTGAGATAGACTTATGCTTGGCTTGCTTCTTTCTCCATACTTACAAATGCTATCTCCTTAAACCCTTTCATGCACGTAGAAGGTTCCATATTTATCATTGTCTCAACATTCTCTGGCTGATCTTTTACACAATGCTCAATAGGCTGAGGAGGGATGGCACTATCTTCAAGATCCTTAGCTACTTTGCCCTTCCCTTTCCGAGCCTTCTTCTTGAACTGAGCCTTTCTGGGTTTTGGAGTCTTGATGGTTTCTTTCACTGGGCTTGCTACCTCTACTGTCTTCTTTTCACAAGGAAGTACAGTAAGCTGAGTGCTGTAGTTGGCAAGGTCAGTTTTGGATTCTGATTAGATCGCTATAAGAGACGTTCTCCCAGCGCTTATCTCAGCCTCTCTTTTAGTCTTTGTTGCAGCTCATGTGTACTTTATGCCTCCGATCTCTACAGTACATGTGAAATGTGGAGCTCTCTCGAGAGTCTCGCTCTTTTGGCATTGATACAAAGGAATAGCGTAGTTCATCTTTTAAGCGTACTCTTGAAGAAGGTTCTCGCATAATCCCATTCAAAAGTTAGACAACAAATACAAAACCGGTAAACTCCATCTCTACAAATTCACCAAGAGGCTAAACCACAGAAGAGAGTTGCTTAACGAGTGGGAATCTTTAAACTCTCTAGTCCAGATCATTGCTCAAACCAAGACCCTACAAAATACAGAATCACCCTTAAAACATTCTCAGGCAAACTAACTGTAAGGTCAGAATCCAGGCAACTGATTGCTCTACAGCCTTACAATTGAAGAATCCAGGCAAAGAAGCATATCTGACATCATCGAGTATTACTGTGGACTAAAAGACAGGTTTGTGGGAAGGGCCTTGTTTGATAGTCTCATATAGAGGCGCTGGTAGCTTGTATTTTCTTAGCATATTCCTACCAGCGCCTCTATATGAGACTATCAAACAAGGCGCCTCCAGTAAATTCAGGCTAAACCCTATCAGAAACACATAGCAATTGGAAACACCTGAGAAAGGGAAAAGGCTTCAAAATGAGAAGAAAAGTTCATAGCCTGGCTAGTAAAGACAGTTCCAGTAAATTCAGGCTAAACCCTATCAGAAAGAGAGAGAAAAAAAAAAACAGAAGATGTTATCCATTACAAGACATAAGTTAAAAGACACGAGGGGGAAGAGCAGTGAAGGAGTCTTAAAATTGAAAATGTAAAAGCAATCATAAAGGCGAATAACTTTCTCCAAGAAACAAGCAATGAAGGAGTGTTGAAAAGCAAATGTAAAAGCATAAAAGGTGAAGTGAGAGATGTTTTAAGCGCTTCAACTATATGTATACCCTCCTCCCTTTATTTCTTCTTCTTAACAATCTCAATTAAATGTTTTAAATAAATAAAATTAAGAAAAACAACTGAGTAAATAGTTTCAAGTCGGTTAATCAAAAATTTATAATACTAAGTAAAATTCTAATAGTAGAATTAATGTTATTTAAATTATACTTTAATATTAATCTAACAAACTACGTAAAATAGTTTTAGTAAAATTATATCATCTTTGATTATGTGGTAATTTTGTATTACTATGTCATCACCAATTATAATATTTGTTACATATATATAATTATATAATTAATCTGAGTTTCCATAAGAAAATATAAACTAATTACTTTTTTTTTTAAATATAATTAAGCCGATAAATCCTTGGCTACTTTCCTAATTGTAAAGATAATTAGTGGAATTAGTCCCTTCCTTAAAATCCTCCTTTTCCTCCTCTTCCCAAAAACACCTTTGCCACCACACTCGTGCCTTCCACGCGCTTCAACACACGCAGGCCATCCTCCTCTTCTCCGATCACCATCATCCTCCTTCTCCGATCGCCGTGGGAACGATTCGTCCAACTCTTACAGCTTCCCGAATATCTGTCTCTTGTGAATATCTTAGGGTTTAGTGAAATTGATTCCTTTGTCTGAAAGATCATCGTAGCAATACGATGTTGGTTGATAGTAGTAATAAGCGCAGGAAGAGAACCATTAGTGAAGCCGACATCGCCACGCTTCTTCAGATGTAACGTCTTCGTTTTTTTAATTATTAAAAGTTGACTTTTTTTCTTAATTCGCGTTGACTTATTTGTCCGTTACAGATACGATGCGAATACGATAGTGAGACTCCTACAAGAGATGTCCTTTTATTCAGATGTCAAGATGGATTGGAATGAGATGGTGAAGAAGACCACCACTGGGATTACTAATGCTAGAGAGTACCAGATGCTGTGGAGACACCTTTCGTATCGTGATCCTCTTCCTCTTCTCCCCGTGGAAGATGATGCTCAGCCTCTGGTACTTATCTCTTTCTTTTACTTCTTGTTAATTGTGAATTGAATATTTCGTTTAGTTTTTTTTAGTGTTGTGTGCAGGACGATGATAGTGACGTGGAGTGTGATTTGGAAGCTTCTCCAGCTGTTAGTGTTGAATCATCAGTGGACGCTATTGCACATGTGAAAGTAAGAAAAGAATATTAGTTAGATCATGTAAAGACGTATTCTTGCATTTCTTAGATGTTTTCTTGTTGAATAATCTCAAGTTTTTTGAAGAGAGATGTAATGTTTTGTAGTTATCGTCTCTCTTTTATTAATCAGGTGCTAGCTGCGTCATATGTGCCAAGGGAGTCTGATATACTCGAGGACTCGACATCTGAGGCTCCCTTGACAATAAACGTGCCTTATACTCTCCCTGAGGGAACTCAGGAGTCTCCTTGGTTGTCAAGAGGGATGAATATCACCTTTCCTGTTCGTCTTCAGAAAGTTACATCTACCGAGGGGATAAATGGAAATGGTTCAGCTAGTTGTAGCGTGTCTTCTCAACGGAAAACAAGGAAGAAATGGTCTGCGGAGGAGGATGAGGAGCTGATTGCCGCTGTGAAGCGGTGTGGTGAAGGCAACTGGGCTCGTATTGCTAGAGGAGAGTTTAGTGGAAAGAGAACCGCCTCCCAACTCTCACAGGTTGTGGTTTAAACTTATGTTATATTCTGTTGGGGATAAATGGGCCTTCCTTGTTTTAGTTGTTAGATCACTATGGTAATCACTCTAGAAACAAATCTGTTGTCATCTAGTCTGGTATGGATGTGGGGGGTCTTCCCCCATTTTTTCCGGGTTCAAATCCCGGCAACAGATTCTTTTTGATAATGTGTTTATATATGCGCTTGGCAATCATAGAAGCTAGCTGCTAAGGCAACGGGTTATGATATTTTCATCCATGTTTACATTTTTTTGTGGATATATTCTATGATATGATGTTTAGAATGTGTTATTCTTTTTCCCTTTAATGGTGGTAGCAGACTGACTATTTTGATTGCAGAGGTGGCCGCATTTAAGAAGAAGGTATGATACTTCGACCTCTGCTAGCCAACCTGGCGTACAGCAAACTGAAGCGCAGATAGCAGTTAACCATGCGTTATCTTTGGCTCTGGGAAATCTACCCCCTTCAAAAAAAGTTGCAGTAGGTAAAGGATGCAGAAGATGTTATCTCGCTAATTCTAGTATCTTATTATATAACAGTGGATGCTTTAGTTTGGTTACCACTTGCCCTGATTTTATCTAAGTCAGAATTTTACATGGGTGTGTTTTGTTTCCTTTATTTTGTACCATCACAGGAACTCAAGGCAATGGAGGCCGTCCTTCTCAAGGTCAACAACAGCCCAAACCAGTTGTTGTTCAAACATTGTCTCCGGCAGGAACATCAGGTCCAGCTTCAAAATCTCGAGTTAGTGTGAGAAAAACAACAACAAACTCCACTTCCAGATTGGATTTAATGGTAACAGCTAATTCGGTAGCTGCTGCAGCATGCATGGGTGGCGTATTGGCTGGTCCATCAGTACCAAAGGTCGACTCTGTAAAAAATGCTTCTACAGCCTGTATGCCTTCTCCCTCAGGTAGCCTCGTTGTGCCAAAGGTTGAACCAGGAAAGACTGTTGCCGCTTCTAAAGCTGTTGAACCTGCGAATACACGACCTCTAGCTAATGGAAACTTGAAACCTGTGACGCCTTCACCATCTTCTACAATGCTTTCTGCTTCTACGCACTTTGCTACTTCATCGAAGACCGTCTCCAGTCAGAGAGTTTTTGCAGCCTCTGTCCCAGCAACTGTATTACCTCCAAAGCCAACCGCAGAGACTATCATTTGCAAACCAGATGGTGGACACAAAGAGCAAGCTCGAGGAGATGGAGCAAGCTCAGTGGTTGCCATGCAGTCAAATAAGATGGCCTCAACAAACACGGAGATTAGCAGGGGAAAGCAGGCTACACACGCTCACACTACAGTTCTCGGTACTGCTAATCAAAGTTTGGTGGATAAAACTGCAGGGCCATCCATCAGTGGAGCTGAATTTAAATCCAAATGTGAAGTAAACAACATGGTTGGTCCGGTAATCAAAGTGAGTAATGCATGCGGAAAGCCTCCAGAGGTTGCAACTGCGAGAGGGACCGGACAGGGTGTTTAGTTCATTGACAGCTACATTTTATTCTTTTATTTTGAAGCTTTTTATTTGTTAGTTTTTATTCGGAGACTGAAAAAAAAAATATTATGTAAAGTAGGTCCTCCCAGTACATGGTACTAATTAATAATACAAATCTCATACACATTTAGTTTTAAATCTCAGGATCTTCAAAAGATCACGTCCTCAGCTTCTGTTGACTTCCTTAGGGACTCATAGGGAGCTTTTCTGGTGGGACAATGTAGCTACACTGTTTGTTCAGTGCTGGAGATGGACTTACACAAGCGAAGATTGATGAAGGTGGCTTCTGTTGTTTATACTTCTTTAACTTGACACCAAACAAGAATGACCTGAGTGGAATCCTAGGCTTTCTAGGTGATGATGATGATGATGATGAAGACGTGCCCTTGCTCAGAGATCTTGTAGCTGCTGCATTCGAGATCCCAAGACCCTCTTCTAGTTTGCAGACAACTCTCTCCACATCAATTCTCAGATTTTGTGCACGCTCAAGTCCACCTTTAAGTTCGTTAAAGACTCTTTTGTTCTCCTGTTTCATGTTGAGTATCTCTCCATGGAACTTTGCAGCCTGGTAACTGCTTATCTCTGTATCATTTACTTTAGTACTACCTGATTGAGACGTCATCCTTGAAACTTCATCTTTGATATTACAAAGTGTTTCATACCTTCCCTCGAGTTCGTCTCTAAGGACTGCACTGTTCTCTAGCCATAACTGCAGCTCTGTCCGAATCTCTCTGAGGTGTCTATATATAGGCTTTGCCTCTGACGCATTACTACTAAGTTTAGATAGCTCAGCTTTCAGGTCATGAACTGCTGTCTGGTACTTTTGTATCTGGTGAACAGATGTGCTAAACCTCAACCAGAACTCGATGTTCTCCTCTAGCACCGCATCTATATCTCCACGCACTTTTTCTTCCACTGATGGAATCTTCTTTCTTGGAGTGTCATCAGTAACTGCAAACTTCACCTTAACTTCCTCCTCCTTTGTTCTTTGTGGTGTTCTCTTGACGTCTCCACCTTGCTGATGTGGTGCCATGGAGATTGAAGAGTTGGAGCTATGAGAAATACTCATACTTTGTGCAGAATCCTTTCCAGACATTTCAGGTTTCTGGCGTAAGAAATGAAACTCAACATCTTCGCAAGAAACAGCATTCTTGAGCTCTCTCAACTGCAGTGACAGCTCAAAGAAGCCATCACGGTTCTTCTTCTCAACTTCACTCAACTTTCTCTTCACCTCTCTGTAGTCTTTTAGTACTGATGTGTATTCATCCAATAGAACCTTCTCTCTGTCCTCCATGCCATCTTCAGGTAACAACTGCCTCCAGTTTCTCCTCTCCTCATCTTCTGCTTCTGTACCAAAGCAAGTGCTTTCTGTTTCTGACAAACCACAAGAGTTCTTTGTCTCTAGTTTCTCTTCTTGAATAGACTCTTGATCGCTACTGTGTTTGACTACAATGGCCTCTTTAATTTCCTCTTCACTCTTTATCTCTGTGGCTTCAGAGATTGAATCTAACTCCTTAGAAGGATCTTCCAGGTTAAGTCCATTTACTTCGACATTTTCATCCATTTTCACTTCCTGTAACTTTCCAGATAAGTGTTTAGCTGTGCTATTAGCATCAACCAAATGCTTTTGTAGATCATTGTTCTGATCTTCTACTCTTTGGAAGAGTTCTCTAACTTTACTTAGCTCATCTTCAAGCACAGTTATTCGTTTCTTCATATCTATGGAATCTGAAACAAGACATGCCTTGTCTTCCTCCACAACACGAATATGTTCATGTAACTCATCAGTGTCTGATCTTAATGTCTTTACCAATGCTGTATGAGATGAAGCTGTTGTTTCCAGAGACACCACTTTCTCCACAAGCTCATCTATCTTCTCTGCAAACTCCTCATTAGTCAGATTATCATTCAAATCAACCTTTTTAGATTCTTGACCAGAAGAGTCTTGCTTAGCCTCTTGTTTTTCAACCTTAACCATCTCAAACTTGTTTTTCAGTGCTTCAAACCTCTCTGTTGCAGAAACAATTCTTTCCTTCTCAGCTTCTGCATCTTCAGCAAACCTCTTCTGCGTCTCCTCAAGCTTAGCAATGGTCTCTTTACATGAGCTAAGAGCCGTGCTAGCCACCAGCGTCTTAGCTTCACCATCTTCAATCTCTGCGCCAACTCCAAACTCATCTTGTAAACTAACAACCCTCTTCTGCATCTCTGTAACTTCATCTTCCAAACTCCAATACCTTTCGTAAGCCTGCTCATAAGAACTCCTCACAAACTCCTTCTCTGTCTGAAGCACCAAGATCCCTTTATGGATTTTATCAATCTCCTCTAGTGCCTCTTCTTTACTCAATCCTGAACTAATCACCAATGCAGAAGAAGATGCTGAGGTTTTAATATCACCATGTCCTTTTCTTAACATGAGAGATTGGCTCTTGAACTCTTTTTTGGGAATCTCAGGGACCTCTGGTATGTTAGTTCCATTAGGAATGAGATGAAGAGGCTTAGGTGGCTTCTCAGGGTTGTTGTCATCATCTTCATCATCATCATCAAGAGGAAATGGAACATGTTCAGGAAAAGCGGTGGCGATCATGTGGTTAGCACTTTGAAGCTCTGTGGATAAATGATCATAGCGTTCTGCTAAAGCACGGTATGAACGAAACGCTTCCTCCACAAAGTTAACAATCTCAGGCCTCTTACGGTAATACATCTCAGCTCTTATCGCAAAAGTGTCTCCATCTTCATTTATAATCTTAAGTGTGTAATGTACCTTCTCCTCCATATCTAGCAAAGATGAGTATTCAAGAAACAACTCAATTAGCATTGCAATATGATATGTGAAACGTTACAATAACCAAAAGAACACTGTTACGTTAAGACATGAAAGAAGGTACATATATATATATGTATACCTTGAAGATTGTGTTCGAGCCATTTAGATTGTTTTGTACGGATGTGGCTGGCCCACCACCATGAATATGCATTGCTTGCTGCTCTCTGCAACATCTTTGTCGTTCCTAATGATTAAGAAGACAATGAGGAAGGCTCCAACATGGTATACTTTTTCTTTTGTGTTTCTTTTCTCTCATTTCTTATGTTAAATTCACTTTTTTATATGGCTTAGTTTCTTTCTTGTGGGTTTTTAACTAGAAAACCCAAATTTGGAAGATAGTATATTGTTTTCTAATGTTGTCTAAAACTGTAGTGATTATTTTACTATAAATATACTTTGTCAGTTCAACTGGTTTGTTACAATTGCATTATTGTTATCGACCACGATGGTATCCACTAATGTCCCTTGAAACTAATTTAAGTTCATACGTTAACTAAAAATGGATAATTCACATTCGAGTCTGATGATCACATTTTAATTCGAGATTCGTTACATACGTCTATCTATCTCTCTATACTATTATTTGCGAAGTAATTTTTCGCAACGGAGCTCTCACATTATAAGTTGTAGTGGTTAATATCGATTATACCCTTAATGAAAAAAATATATAAATCAGCCAAAAATAAAAATGAATTTAATACTTATTTAATTAGAAAATTTATTTAAATTAATAATAATGATAAGAATTATCCATAATCTAAATGTATATTTAAAAATAAAAGATAATTCCTATATATACTGTGTTGTTATCCGGAAAACATATTTTAATTAAAAAAATTCAAAAACTGAAAACACATAAATAAATATTCATAAAGTAAAATTTGTAATTGTATATAATTCAAAAAAGAAAATTGAAAATTTATAATACGTAATTATTTTCAAATTAGAAGAATATAATAATATAATATAATGATATATATCTGTGAAGTTATTTTTCGCCTCTAAACTCACACGTTAAATTAAATTTATATTTATATTTTATATAGTTAAACTTTAAGAAAATACGTGTATAACAAAAATAAATTCAAATATATTGTATTATTATCTAAACTAATGTTATTTTTCTGTAAGGTCAATTTTTGAATGTAAATTTATCGATTCAATTTTTCAAATTATTTTATTAATTAAGAAGAAATGAAATAGACTTTAAATTTTTCAAAGTTTCAAATGAAAAATTAGTTTTTAAATAATTTTATCATGTAAAAAAGGTTAATTTTTTAGGTCGAATTTTTTGGATGCAAATAATCATTTATTTTGATGTTTTTTAAATTGATTTAAAGATAATTAAACTTATTTGATTAGATAAATGATTTAAATTAATAATAATGATTAGAATTCCCATAATCTAAATATATATTCATATAAAAATATTTTAATGTTTGATTTAGGTTTTTTAAAACAATAAAAATAACCTATAATATTATTTTAGAATTAATAAAACAAAAAATAATAAATATTCGTAAGAAAATTAAGCCCGCATGTGCAGGCAAAACACCTAGATAAATATATTTTTAATAAAAAAACTCAAAAACCAAAAATACATAAATAATTATTCATAAAATAAAAATTTTAATTGTATATAATTCAAAAGAGAAAATTTAAAAAAATATAATACGTAATTATTTATTAAAAGAATATAATAATATAATATAATATAATGATATATATATATATATATATATTTGTGAATTTATTTTTCTGCTCTCAACTCACAGGTTAAATTAAATTTATATTTATATTTTATATAGTTAAACCTTAAACATGAATTAATCATATAAAATAAAAGATCATTAAAAACGAAAGAAAATACATGTTTTATATAAATAAATTTAAATATATTGTATTATTATCCAAACTAATGTTATTTTTTTGTAAGATCAATTTTTGAATGTATATTTATCGATTCAATTTTTCAAATGGAAAGATAGATTTCTATATTTGTTTATCTATTAAGAAGAAATGAAATCGACTTTAAATTTTCCAAAGATTTAGAAAAAATAGTTTTTTTAATTTGTGAATAACTTTATCATGTAGAAAAGTTTAATATTTAAGGTCAAATTTTTTGGATGCAAATAATCATTTATTTTGATGTTTTTTTAAAATTAATTTAAAGATAATTAAGCCTGCATGTGCGGACAAAACACATATATATCTATACTATTATATAAGAAGTAAATTTGCTTAGTTGCCAATTTCTCCATGATTTTAGGTTATTTTGTTTATTTACTTTTTAAATAATTTAATATACAATTTATTATTTAATAAAAATGAATTTATATTAATAATATTATATTTTATTAAATTGTTATCTTAAAAGTATATTTTTCTATTATAAAATTCAAGTGAATTTAGTGATTGATTTGTAACTTCTCCATAATTTTGTAGTTTTGCTTATTTGTTATATTTTTAATAATTTTATGAATAATTTATCATATAATAAAACGAGTTTCTATTAATAATATTAGACTTTTAGAAAGTAAGATAATTCTTATATATATTATATTGTTATCTTTAAAATATATTTAAAAAATAATAGAAATTAAAAATTAAGTTAAAATATTAATAGTTAAATATAAAGAAAGCAATGCTGATTTATCAACTTCTCCATGGTTTTATTTATTTTTTATTTATCATATTTTAATAATTTCATATCTCTATAATATTATTTGAGAAGTCAGTTTCTTATGTGGCGCGTTCACGTTGATTCTTACACTGGTTGATTACTATGGTACCCTTGATGAATATATTTAATAGTATATTTAAATAATATTATTAATTTTATGTTTAGTTTCCTTTTTAAAACATTCCAAATAACTTTTATTAATAACAAAAATATATGTTTATATAATATGATTTAATTAAAAGGAAAGTTCACAAAATAGTAACATACTATCAAAATAGTAAAATAGTATTATTAATTTTGTATTTAGTTTCCTTTTTAAAAATTTCCAACTATTTATAATAGAAAAAATCTATAAAATTTAAAAGGAAAAATTAAAAACGAAAATATATGTTTATATAATATGATTTCATTAAAAGGGAAAATTAACAAAATAGTAACATCCATTAAAAATATTTTAAATAACATAAAATGTACTTTTTAATTAATAAAATACTTTCTTTATATCTGTATTTTCTTATATGAAAATATATGTTTTTATATAATGTGATTTCATAACAAAAAATTCACACATATAATTTTAATATTTGAAAAAAAAAATTTACTTTTAAACATAATTTTAAGTAACATAAACAAGTATATGTTTTTATTAACTAAAATAGTTTTTAATTAAAATTATTGAATATATTATTTTTTTCATATATTTAGTTGACTATAGAATCTTTCAACTAAAGCAAAAAAAAATCTATAAATTAAATTTTACTTATATAATATGATTTCTCAAATACAACCACAATTTTTACTGCTTATTTTTAAGAGAAATTAAAATATTTTTTAACAATAAACATCTTTTAATCAAATAATTACAAAATATTTTTAAAATATCATACCACTATATACTTTAATGACATAGATATGTTATATTCTATCATTATTTAAATTATATGTTTCTTAATTTTAATTTTTTTAAAAAAATTTATGTTTGTGTAACTTAATATAACCATAATAAAAATACCAAACCAAATCCGAATTCTCATTTTTAAGATTATTTAAAATAATTTCAGTTTATCATTCAATAAATCTAAGATATAAAATTATTTAGAATTTATAAAATATTTTAGTTATTGTAAATATTGATATGTGTTCATGAATCTTCAAAAATATATGAGTTACTTAAGTATGTAACTTCCTACTGATTATTGCTTTATTTTCTACTATATTTTAAAGAAACATATAACTTGATAAATATTATGAAAATACGTGCACATTTAAATGATAAATAATATTACTTTAATTTGATTTATTTTGTGAAGTTTATATATATGCATGAGACTTCAAAGATTATCTTTATATCGATTGATGTAATTTGAAATCAAAATTATTTTATATTTCATCATAGGCATAATATATCTTAAGTTATAAATAACTTTTCTAAAATATATTGACATCTGAGACAGCAAACAACCTAAAAGTAAATAATAGAATTAATCAAAATTTAATATATTTAGAATAAAAAATATTATAGCTGAGTTCAGATAAAATAATGTAATCTAATATACCCAAATAATAACAGTAAAATCGACTATAAAATAATAAAATTGACTAGATATAATATTTCTAAAATAATATGTCTAATTAAAGTAAAATAATATTATTAATATAAATGCAAATTATAAATTAATTGAAAATTGAAAAGTAAATAGTAATCAATTATTATAGTATATTTACTTAATAAATATTTATATCCGTGCATGAGCACGGGAAAATCACCTAGTATAATTTATTAAATAATAAAACGAATGTATACTAATAATACAAGATTTAAAAAATAAGATAATTCTTATGTATTAGATTGTTATTTTGAACATATATTTTCTATTAGAAAATTTCAGTGAATATCTGATTTGTAATTTCTCCATGATCTCGATAATTTTGATTATTTTTCATATTTTTAATAATTTCTTATAAAATTTTATTATAGAATAAAAACTAATTTCTATTAAAAATTATATTTTAATAATAAGATACTTCTTATGTATTATATTTTATCTTGAAAATATATTTTTTATTATAGAAATAAAAAATTAAGATAGAAAAAAATTATAATTAAAATAAATTAAAGCAACACATTTGTAAAATTATATTTTTAAAAATATTTTGTTATGTGAGTGTAGTCATTTATAATTAAGTTTAAAACATAAATCATAACTTATTATATTGGTTTGAATTAATAAAATACAGTCTAATAATAAATTGTACGAAAATTATGCCCGCATGTGCGGGCAAAACATCTAGTATACTATTATTTGCGAAGTGATTTTTCGCAACGGAGCTCTCACGTTAAAAGTTAGAGTGGTTAATATCAATTATACCCTTAATGAATTTTATATAATTTATTATATAATTAAAAAAATTGTAATAATAATATTAGATATATATATTAGATTATTCATTATAAATTAATATGATAATTTTCAAAATATATACATATTATAAAATAAGATAATTCTTATAGATATGATGTTGTTATCTTGAAATAATATTTTTCTATTACAAACATTTAAATTTTGATTATGATAATTGCCAAAAGTTAATACATATATTACAAAAAGATAATTTTAATAGATATTGTGTTGTTATCTGAAAATAATATTATTTTACTACAAAATTAAAAATATAAATATAAAACAATCTAAATTAAATATTACTTAATCTATAACATTTGTATAATGATATTTTCTAAAATATTTCTAATATGTGGGTTTTTAATTTAAATTTTCAACCTAAAATATGTGGGCATAAATATATTTCGATAAAAAAATGTTATCATATATAAATAATTTGATTTAAACTTTTTGAGAACATAAATAACATTTATTTTTGAGAAATCATCTATACTATTATTTGAGAAGTAAATTTGCTTAGTTGTCATGTTCTCCATAAATTTAGATAATCTTGTTTAATTACTTCTCAAATAATAGTAAACTAGGTGTTTTGCCCGCACTTGCGGACATAATTTTCTTATGAATATTTATTAGTTGATTTTTCATTAATTTAAAAACCAGCATAATCTATACTATTACTTTTAATTAATTTATATTTAATTATAATTTTTATATCTTAATTTTAATTTTTTTAATAGAAAAACATATTTTCAAGATAACAATATAATGCATAAGTTATTTATTTTCTAAAAATATAATATGCTAATTTTTTTAATTATCTAATATTATGAAAATTATGACATATAAATAAAATTACCTAAAATCATGGAGAACTTAATGAATCATCAAATTCACTTCTTAAATTTTTTTTCTTGAGTGATGATTTATCAAAATTACCTAAAATCGTGAAAAATATGACAAATCAGCAAACATCAAATTAACTTCTTAAATAGATTTTTTATAATAGAAAAATAGTTTTTCAGGATAACAGCATAATACATAAAAATTAACTTATTTTTTAAAATATCATATTATTAATATAAATTAGTCTTAATTAATAATAAAAAAAATTAGAGAAATTTTGATAAATGATCAAAATTACCTAGGATTATGGAGACAAATCAACAAATTTACTTTTCAAATAATTTTTTTGATGATTTATATTTAATTATTAATAATATAATTTTTCTATCTTAATTTTAAGTTTTATAATAGGAAAATATACTTTCAACATAACAACATAATACATAAGAATCATTTTATTTTATAAAAATAGAAAAAATATTATAATAAATTTGTTTTAGCTATATAATAAATAAATAATTTTTATATCTTAATTTAAATTTTAAGTTTTATATATAAAAACATATTTCAAGATAACAACATAATTCACAAGAATTATCTTATTTTTTTAAAAAAAATAGGATATATTCATATAAATTCGTTTTAATTATAAATAAATGATATATAAATATTAAATATGGTAAATAAACAAAAATTAACTAAACTTATGGAGAACATGACAACTAAGCAAATTTACTTCTTAAATAATAGTATAGATAAAAACATATTTCAAGATAACAACATGATTCACAAGAATTATCTTATTTTTTTAAAAAAATAGGATATATTCATATAAATTCGTTTTAATTATAAATAAATCATATATAAATATTAAAATATGGTAAATAAACAAAATTAACTAAACTTATGGAGAACATGACAACTAAGCAAATTTACTTCTTAAATAATATTATAGATTTGCTTAGTTGTCATGTTCTCCATAAATTTAGGTAATTTTGTTTATTTATCATATTTTTAATATTTATATATAATTTATTTATAAATAAAACGAAATTATATGAATATATCATATTTTTAGAAAATAAGATAATTCTTGTGAATTATGTTGTTATCTTGAAATATATTTTATATATAAAACTTTAATTTTAAATTAAGCTATAAAAATATTATATTTATTATATAACTAAAATAAATTTTGATTAATAAATTATATTTTTCTAAAGTCTATACTATTATTTAAGAGGTAAATTTGCTTAGTTGTCATGTTCTCTATAAGTTTCCCCTATAAGTTTAGGTAAATTTGTTTCTTTATCATATTTTAATATTTATATATAATTTATTTATAAATAAAACGAATTTATATGAATATATCATATTTTATAAATAAGACAATTCTTGTGGATTATGTTGTTATCTTGAAATATATTTTATATATAAAAATTTAATTTTAAATTAAGCTATAAAAATTATTATATTTATTATATAACTAAAACGAATTTTGATTAATAAGTTATATTTTTCTAAAGTCTATATTATTATTTTAGAAGTAAATTTGCTTAGTTGTCATGTTCTTTATAAGTTTAGGTAAATTTTTCTTTGTCATATATAAAACAAATTAATATGAATATATCATATTTTTAGAAAACAAGATAGTTTTTATGTATTATGTTGTTATGCTAAAAATATATTTTCCTATTATAAAACTTAAACTAAGATATAAAATTATATTATTAATAATTAAATATAAATCATCAAAAGAATTATTTGAAAAGTGAATTTGTTGATTTGCCTCTATGATCTTAGGTAATTTTGATCATTTATCATAATTTTTTTTTTAATTTTGTTTATTCTTGATTATATAATTAAAATTAATTTATATTAATAATATGATATTTTAGAAAATAAGTTAATTCTTATGTATTATGCTGTTATCTTAAAACTATATTTTTCTACTATAAATTCAAATTTAACATGTAAAAAATCTATACTATTATTTAAGAAGTGAATTTGATGTTTGCTGATTTTGTCATATTTTCATGATTTTAGGTAGTTTTGATAATTTATCATAATTTCTATAATTTTATATATAATTTATTATATAGTTTAAAAAATTATATTAATAGTATTAGATTCTTAGAAAAAAATCTATTTCTTATGTATTAAGTTGCTGTCTTGAAAATACATCTTTCTATTAGAAATTTAAAATTAAGATATAAAAAGTTGTAATTATTCTATAATTGACATAAATTTACACTAGTAATATTATACTTTTAGAAAATAAAGTAATTCTTATGTATTATGTTGTTATCTTGAAAATATATGTTTATATTATATAATTTAAAAGTAAAATAGATAATTTATCTATTATTAACGAGATAAAACATCACTCAAGAAAAAATATTTAAAAAGTGAATTTGCTGATTTATTAAGTTCTTCATGATTTTAGACAATTTCAATTATATGTCATAATTTCTATAATTTTTTATAATTTAAAATAAATAACTTATCCATTATATTGTTATTTTGCAAATATGTTTTCTATTATAATTTTTAAATTAAGGTAGAAAAATTATAATTTAAATATAAATTAAGTACAAATATTTGTATAAATATTATAATTAAATATAAATCAAGCAAGAAAATTATAGAAATATATTCTTTTAAATATTTCAGATGTTTTAGTTTTGTTATTGATAATTATTTGATATTTGATTTGTACTTTTTGAAAACATAAATAATAATTTATTATGCTGGTTTTTAAATTAATGAAACACCAACTAATAAATATTTATAAAAGAATTATGTCCGCAAATGCGGATAAAACACCTAGTAACTAATTATTTTTAACATGTTGATGGATATTGGTAAGAATAATATATGTTGATTGATATTGGTAAGAATATTATGCCCGCATGATGGGCACAACACCTAGTTTTATATAATATGAAAAGGTTAATATAACCTGAATTAAAAAAAAACGGTGAAAGACATTTTTCTTTCCTAAAAGATATAAACATTTTAACAAAACGACTCGAGTTGATAATAAATCATCCAAGTCTAACTATCAAAGTCCCAAGACAAGTTACACATATCACAATATCATTATTCCTCCATCTCCTCAGCTTCGTCTGTGGAAGATAGCCTTGGACGTTTTGCAGCTCGCTCTTCGTCTTCTTCCTCCATTGGCTCTTTCTCCTTCTGATCACAATCATCCCCAAGATCTTCACTCGTCTTGTCCTCAGTTCCAAGATCTTCACTCGTCTTGTCCTTAACTTCATGTTCTTCACTCAGCTTGTCCTCAGTTCCAAGATCTTCAATCGTCTTCTCCCCGTTTCCAAGAGGATCACTCGACTTGTCCACCATTCCAAGATCATCACTCGGTTTGTCTCCAATTCCAAGAGCATCACTCGACTTGTCCCTAGTTTCAAGATCTTCATTCGTCTCGAGCTCTATTCCAAGATCATCACTCTCCAATTGTTTCGCCTCGTCTCTGTCATCTTGACTCGACACAACCACAAGCTTGTCGTGAGTAGATGGGAGCTCTTCATTCTCGGTGTTGTGGTCAGTGCTAGGACCCAGGGTTGCAGAAAATAACGAGACAGCCTCTCTTGGGGGACTCTCACTGGTTTCTCCATCATAAAAAGTTTCCATTGGCATTCGGTAGTCTTCAATGATACAAATATCTTCTGAATCACTAGAAGCACTTTTTGCGGTTTCAGATAACGAATCAGCCTCACCTTCCTCCTGCACCGGCATCATACTTAGGTTCCATGAAGATTCTCTCGCAGATACAGTTCCATTGATGCGTTGAAAGTTGCCTTCTCCAGAGTTCAGACACATAAACTGTTCACCAGTCTCCATATCTACTTGCTGACCAAAACAAAGGCAAATAAGAAAATTAAGATTTATTGTCAGATAATCAGGAGATTTGATCATTAGCTTGCTGAATTCTGTAGTACCTCTGTTGCCGATGAGTTGTTACCCAGATGATAAAATGAAGATGGTTCCTCGAATGTTTGTTGTAGTTGTCCAAGTAATGATCCCGTGTTGTTGGCTCCTGAATCGAATAAATCCCTCAGAACCATATTGGAATCATTAACAGCTTGCATGTTTCTCATGGAAGATCTTTCAAGCAACGTCATTTCAATTCCTTGATCGTCTTGCCTCTGTGTCATACTCCCGTTACAGTCTACACCCCCTCTCCCAGAGAGAACCTCCATTCCCGTATTGTTATTAAGGGGAACTGGACTTTCGCACGACTGGTTCTGTTCATTATTAACTTCCCGTGAACGGTTTTCAAGGAGTTCAAAAATTAACTTCTCAATTAGAGTACGCTTCAATGAGGCCTCGGCAGGAGGAAACCAGTTCAAATAGAGCTGGAAAAAACAGAGAAAAACATTGATCAGCAAATCAAGAGACCGAATAATACGGACCCAGATGTTCTTAGTTTAACTCCATTAAAAAAACTATATGTTTCGACTCTTTGGATCCAATTCATGATATCAAGAAGCAAGCAGAAGATCTACCCTAACTTGGCTGCAAATAGACAACTTCTACACAGTAAAAACAGGTAACACAATTGACCAACATTACAGTATTTACCTTTCTGTGACCTATAGTAATATACATGAGAGGTAGCAATTAGAGAACAGACTTACAAAGTTGGAAGCATTATATATCTTGAAAGGACTAAAATTCTGGGGAGCTTCAGCCAGAAATAGCTCCAGATAGTGCAGTAGAAACAGGCCACAATCATATGAGTTTTCTTGCTGTGGCAGCTGAAATAGAAATAGCAAATATATTTATTATATAAAGAGCAGGAAAAAGTTTCGTAAGAGATAGAGTACGTATAAAAGGGACTAGAGGCATAATATTTGAAGACTAGAGGCCAGACCTCAAGTGAGACAAAACGCAAATTCATGAATCTGGAAGAAATATCATCCGAGGTATCCTTATGCCTCTCCTTCCATTCCTCGCACAGGTAACTAAGATCAGCAAAATGTTGTTATTAACAACTTGCACTACCCAGCTTAAAATTTGAGTATTAATATAGTTCCACACATAATTCAAAAGTATCAGAGCATGGAGCTACAGCATATTCTTCAACGTTTAAGGCAAAGAGAGTATCAGGAAAATATATTATCATCTCGTTGGGCAAGTGAGAAACGTATATAGATAACGTATATGCAATACTTAGAAGACGAGACTGAGATGTGGTTGTAAGGTAGCTAACATACGTTTGGACTAGATTCTTAAGCCCTGCATGACTCCCTTTTATAGAATCCATATGTAATATGCATGGAACTTTTGTGGACTCATCGAATTCTAAATCTGCAAAATATACAACATATAAGATAATAAAGTGAATGATCATGACTTTGTAATAACTAGAGTATCATGTGAAATTACCTGTACAGTTAGCCACTTCACCGGGGTGACATATGATTATTAAACTCCAGTGAAGACTGTCATTAGCATTTAACAGTGTCAGATTTGAACTCAATAAAAATCTAACGTAATAGAATTCATACTTGAAGTTCACCGGCACAAAAATGTAGTCCTTCCCAAACATGTCCACCTTCCTTGTCCATTTCCGGACGCGTAGAAAAGCAGCCTTTCCATCAGCTATACTCGATGGATCTTTGTCGAGATCAGCAAGTTTACGGAAGAAAAAGCTGTTGAAGAAATGGAATCTCTGTCTTTCCTCCGCTTGAATTTGATGCTTCAAATAACTGTGAATAATTGAAGTATACACAAAACGGTAGATGTGGTTTGTTAATATCCAAGTTAAAAAAGGTTAGCATCACAAGAAAATTTCAATATGACTACAAGAACTGCATAAGTGAAATTGTAAATTATGCTGAGACCATCAACCAAGTGAGAGATACTACAACGCATGGCAGAGTCTTTACTATGTCAACATTCCATCAGAGAGGTTAAGTTTAAGAACTTACTTAATATAGAAGTCAATGATTGTGTCATTTACAAATGTCTCTGGCTGCAAGAGCTCAACATCTCTTTTGCAAATGGAAACAGCATCTGGATCTCCCTTTGGATAGATAACTTCCTCAAATGGGTCATCAAAGCTGAAAGGACAGTATAAAACTCGCAATTCACTATGAAATGTCTCATCTGTCACTCATTTTTTGGCATTACTATTCGGATGCTTAAACTGTTCCCATTACTTTTCTTCACAAAGTTGCAGATTGCTAAAAAGTAAGTCCCCAATCCTTCAACGAACTAACTTATATATTGCTAAAACTAATTCTGCCCAAGATGAAATGACAAGAATGTGCATTTTCAGCAATCTACTTCAAAGAGCCAAAAAAATATCCAGAAGAACTTCGTAACTTTGCACCGCAAAAGCAGAAAAGAAGACAGCATCTGATTCCAAAAGGACACAAGTATAGGTCCTATAGAACACTCTTACCGTGGAAAATAACGCTTCTGTTGATGCAAGTTTTCCCCTGATACTTCCACGTCATCACTAGAATAAAGAAACAGTTATGGGATGATTTAGAACAATAAGGCACCAAAACTACTCAGTGTGTAACTAAAACCAAATACGAGCCCAAGTGCCCCTCTTCTTTTTATTTGGCTCAGTTTTCCCTCAGTGAGCCCAAAGTATTTTCTTTTATATGCAGTTTGCATTTGACTAAAGGTTTTGTTTACTCTAAACTTAACAGACTTCTACCTTCGTGGCTAGATTGAACTAAGAGTTTAACATTTCTCCGAGCTCAACTATTCAGTAAATAATCTTTCTCATCGTCAGAGCATGCAATGAATTTTAGGAATCAAAATGGGCAGAAAAATGTGTTTTCTAATTATAGCTCCCTAATGTTAGAAGCTTACTCGAGGTCGGCACTCCATATAGCCGGGTATTTCACATGCAGCGAGTTGATTTGTCGTTGTTTCTCAGGCCAATTGTGTTCTTTAACTGCAAACTTTAACTCCTCAATGTCTGGTAACCATAAGAAGCAATATAAGAAGTTAGAAGAGGGATCTCCTAGGGTTGAAAAGGCTGAGGTTTAGAAAGCCACTCTTCGTTTTTTTTTTGCTGAGATAAAAATTAATAAACATTTCTCTTATGACTCTTGGTTATCATAAACAAGAACTTACAGAACGCGGGTCTACATCCAAATAATATGTTTATTTGGCTCAGTCTGAAGAATTGCAATGTAATATTTTACCGTATATTACATTTACCTATTTCTACTAAATTAAATCAACAACAAACTGAACGCATAAAATAGTAGTATCATATTTATGCTTCTTTCCCAATGTACAATTATTTAGCCTGTCTCAACTCTTTGCAGGCTCAACCCAGACCATATGCATCGAGAGATAAGGACTTGGCGAAATAAATTCATTGACAAGTGACAGAATTTTTTTATAGTTACACAACATATATAACGTCAATGACTCCACTAGTTTTTAAATAATATACAGTATCAAGCGCCTAAGATGATTAAACATTTAATTATATTGGTATGATTATAACTGAGAATACCTGTGGTCTGTTGCATATCTTCCTGGCATTTTTCATCCTTTAATAAAACTCGAATTCTGAGGATGATCAGTCCAACCTATGATAATGACCAGCAAAAATTGTAAATTTGATAGATGTTAATATATTCAAAAGAGAAAATGAGCCCATAAAGTATCCTTCGAACTGGACGCACAACATAAATGAGAAAACTCACATTTTGGTACCAATTGTACTGAATACTAACTATGTCTTCAACTCCAAATTCACAAGAGTGTGGCTCGTCTTCATTATTTTCAAGGTAACTCTTTATTTTGATGCCATTGCATGAAAAGATTACCAGGGATGCAGCACAAGGCATATCCTTAAGTACAACATACTCTGGAATCATGATAACAGCCGTGCTTCTGTCGATCTGCAAAATGTAATGCGTTACTTGAGAATCTGTAAATCTTACTTTGTTCAAGCACTATTAAAATTATTTAATTAATAAAATATAAAACCAGATGTATAATCTATCAACCAGATCCATCAAAAACGTTGCAAAGAAGAATGGCCATATTCCAGAACGTATTATAAGCGTTGGCATGAAATCTTGGAAGCTCACAAACAATAAAGTGCAAAATATTTAAAAACTGAACTAAAGAAAGACGGTCACATATAAACCACAATCTGGTTATGAAGGAACAAAGATGCAATAATCATAGAACCATGCATAAAGAGATTCTTACCTAGGCTGAAGAAAAGGCAGTAAAACAAGTAAAATTCAATCACAAAAAATATATATATATATACGCAAAGTAGTATCATGTCATATAGGGGTTGATCGAAGCAAAAGAATCAATGTTATCTTTTTGCAACCACAGCGATTGGTCAAGAAACTCATTACCTTTTCAATATCATCCAAGAAACGTTCAGCCATCCAATCTTTGAGCACATATAACATTGAAATCAGCATCCAGTTAGACGTAAGATGACATCAACTCAAACATATACGAAAATATGATGAAAACCCTGTAACATGTACCTTCATCACTTTCCGAATCAGAAGCGTCACTCAACGCGGATCGATCACTCAAGCTTTCATCAATAGCTGACATCATATCAGTTTTCTCCTCCTGCAAATGTGAATTACGTTAAAAACACAATCTAAAAGTTTTGAAACCTTTCTCCCACACAAAAAAAAAGTCAATACAAGATAGAGATTTACATACACTGGACGAAGAATCCGAAAGGGGCGAGCTCAGCTGGCAAGAGAAACTTCCCAGATCTACATCTGTTTCTTTAACATGATCTTCAGTACTCAAACCAAACATTAATCCATGATTATCATGATCTTCATCTGCTGCTTCTTTTGCATTGTCATCTTCGGTATTCAAACCAAAAACCAATCCAGGATTAACATGATCAACATCTCTCTCAGTTAAATGATCTTTACTTGACTCCTCAGCTTCTGTTACTAAAGCAGAAGCATCTACATGATGACCATCGACTATAACAGTAGCAGCCTCAACACATCTTTCACCTTCTTCCACTTCTTCCTTCTGAGCAGATTTGTCTTGGCAAACTGATAGCAATTAACAACGTTCATAAGCATTCATATATTGTAGTCTCACAACAGCATTTAGCATCAAGTGTTCATTCTATTATACACTAGATTCCGATAATTAAAACAGTTAAAATCATTCTCAGGTCAGTTTCAACTCGTCTCAGCTGGAAAAAATCTCAATGTTCCCAAGTAATTTTTCGAAATTGAAAACTAAGGAGAGAACATCTATTAAGGAAGAAGAAGAGGAGAAACTTACAGCTTTGGATTCGTTGGCGTTGAAGAACGGGAGAAAGGGACGGGCTAGGGTTTGTGAATTTTTCCAACAACTTTCCAGATGCTGACTCAGCGAGCTCGTCCTCTTCGTTGAAATCGAAGACTTCAAGGTTTTTCTTCATCTCTACGAGGAAGCCTCGCCGGGAGAATTCACAGACAATCCAAGCCGGAGATCCGAGATCGGCGATCGGAAATCGAAGGGTCGAGTGAGAGAGAGAAAGAGAAAGACGCTAAAACGAATCGAGTCAAACAATGATTGCTACCGCGTTTGTACTCCACGCGCGTATGTAACTTTACTCTATTTATAACGCTTATTAAAAAAAAAATAGATAATGAAATTACATATATACCCTTTGTTTTCGCCGTGAATACTCTCCTTTAAAAATGTGGAGACGTATATTGTTTGAAACATACAAACTTGAAACTCAGTCTAGAACAGAGAAGAGACATTATTGAGTTTCTTTTTTTTGAAGAAGTCATGGATATGTCGGGAAGCTTGACTTGCGTTGTTGTTGCGGTAGATGGAAGCGAGGTCAGCATGGAAGCTCTGAGGTGGGCACTAGACAACCTCAAGCTCTCATCGTCTTCTCCCGATTCATCATTCGTTGTCCTCCATGTGCAGCCTTCACCTTCTGTTGCTGCAGGTGTTAGCCCCGGAACCATCCCTTTCGGTGGTCCCAGTTGAGTCTTGTTACTATTAAGTTTACGACTGTATAATGATCTTTATATGGTATTTGTTGAGTTGACTATATATGGAAAAAAACATTGCAATGAAGGTGGCCTGGAGGTTCCTGCTTTCACGGCTGCGATCGAACAGCACCATAAACGGATCACAGATACCATCATGGAACATGCTCTTAAAATTTGTGCAGATAGATCGGTGAGTACATGTGACATGTAAAACCTTATACTTGAGATTCATCAGAGATTAGTTAGAATATGGAGCCATTATTTGTGTTTTATGAGTCTGTTATCTATGTAAGTTTATTGTTATGAGGATTTTGAGTTTATGAACAAAGTTTTGATGATTTTGCTTACTTTCAGGTGAATGTGAAAACGCAAGTGGTGGTTGGTGATCCAAAGTATAACATATGCGAGACTGTTGAGAATTTGCACGCTGATCTCCTTGTCATTGGTTCTCGGGCTCATGGCCGCATTAAGAGGTACTAATCCTTTCTTCTTCCACACATTAGTATATTTGCTTTGTGTGGTGAACTGATGAAAATACAAATCAAAGGCGTTTGCTATGCTGAACGACTTGTCCCTTACTGACTTCTGACTCTTGATTGACATCTTTGCCAGTGTTGAATCCAGTATTTGTTTTTATTTTCTATTTCAACAGGATGTTTTTGGGAAGTGTAAGCAACTACTGCAGCAACCATGTGCACTGCCCTGTTGTTATAATTAAACCCAAAGGAGATTCTTCTGAATAATATAAGGTATACAAGTTTTACCTTCGAGTGTTCACACCTTCATAATTGTCATCGATCTTCTTGATCCACATTCTTTGTTTTCATCTCGAAACCAGCCTAGTGATTTTCCTTAACTTCGAGGGGCTTCTTAATTTTCTTATAACTTTACATCTCTAGCTTTTTATCAATGTCAGAGTCCTTCTAACCGAGTTATCCAATCATCTCTTCGTTTTCTCAGGAGATATCAAATCTATCTGTGTGAGTTTGTGAACTATGTGAAGCTATGGAAGCAGTAAAACAAAGAATACGGCTGCGTACTTATTAAAGCATTGATGTGAATGTAAAAATTAATAAGAGCTACAGAAACATTGGTTGGCTCAGTAATCAGTATGTGTTGTACAAAAATATGGTGAGGATTATTATGTGAGCTTTATAATATGAAGAACAGGTACAGAGCTAACTGTTTGAACCAAAAAATGATTTGTGGCATTGGCTAACTGTTCGAACCGAAAAATGATCTGTGGCATTGGCTATTTTACGCAACAAGGGAGCTCTGCTTATGCTTTGTTTTCCCCAATTATATTTTCGCCTATGATTGCCTCTTTCGCAGTTGAAAGGTTCATCTTTTAAGAAATGGGATAACACGGCCTGCATTCATCGATAATCAAGTTTCTCAGTAAACTGAGAAGAGACTATAATACAAAAGAAGATTGGGAAATTATGTGTGCAAAAGACTAAAGATTACAATCTTTTTATGCCATTCTTTTTTCAAGGTTTCAAAAACAGATGCTCTGGAGCAGAAGTCGTTTACAGTTTCCTAAGGATGTAACAGAAACCTAACAGAATCGTGAAGCTGGTCAGAAATAATTGCTGGGAGCATTCGAGCAGCAGCTACCACGACTGGACGAGCAACTGCCACACTTTCTATTCCTGCAGACCAGTAAATGCAGAGAGTTTTTAGTATATAATTCAACCCAAAAAAAAAAACAGCAGCATCAACTTGTCAAGCAAACCAATAGCATAGTCATCCTAATTTCTTCAGGGTTTTAACGCATAATAAACAGGAACTTTAATGCCTTGTCCAATACTATTTCGAAGTTCCTAAATCTAAGAAACTACAGATACTGGTTCTCACTTCAGCCTTTTCACAATTCAAGCTAAGTATTTGTTATGTATGGTCCACAAAAACAAAACAAAAAAGATTATAGAGAGAAATCAAAACAGTCAGTCACAACGGTTCGGATAACTAAACAACCTGGGTTCGGATAACTAAACAACCTGCAACAATGAATGTAATCAACTCCAAAATGGTCTACTTAGATCTCAATCCTAAAACAAAGTTTGTCTAAGCTGAAGTACAAGGAGCAAATTCATGATTAGAAGAACTCTACCTCCATGGGATCAGAACCGCCTGTAACACCAGATGAAGGCTTCCCGTCTTTTGCGGCTACGTCGGAATGAACAGGATCAGGCATTATCAGGCCTGCAGGAACCTGGCCAAACTTCAAAGCCTGTTCGAGTCTGGCAATTTCTTCTATCGTCTGGGAGTTGATAATTGCAGCCTGGAATATCATGGAAATGAAATACCGATACCGTCATCAAACACAGAGCCTTCTCTTACTTAATATAAATAAACAAACAAATAGGTTATAGATTATCGCACCTTAATAGCTAAAATTTGCTCCGGTGTTGGGGCCACCACTTTTGGAGTCTCTGATTCTTCTGCAGTCTCTGACACTTTTTGAACCTCCTCCCGAGATACCTTCTTAACCTCCTCTTCTGCTTCCTTAGATGAAAACAAAGCCGCAGCTTCAGCTCTCTCCTGTAAGGAAACATTTTTTATAAGGTAAAAGGTCATTGTTTCAGGAGATATTAGACTCGTGATGCCGCAAAGCAGTAATTTTAACTTGGCATATAGAGTAAGCATATATGACAAGTGGATAAAGCCCATAATAAGATCCTCACCTTGGCTTTGACTTTGATGAAATCCAGTACTCGAAGTGATTTTAGCTTGTGAATCACATACAGACGATAATTCGGCTTTTTGTTGATATTATTATCCAACAAACTAAGGTACTGAAGCTTTGGAATGGAGGCAAGAGGATCAATTTCAACCAGATTCACAAGCCTGTTATTCGTAAGAACCAAAGTGTGCAGCTTCGGCAGGAACTCTGCAGACAAACAACCATAAAATATACACAACACGCTTAATCAACGAAGCAAAATATGTATTCAAATTCACATTTTATTAGGATAGTTACCTCCAATATTAGGATTTATCCGTGTGATCCTATTGTTATTAATGATCAAAGTTCCCAACCGGTTGAGGAGTGGAAAGTTTTCTAGCTTAACTATCTCATTGTCAGAAAGATCAATAGTATCGAATTGGTCCTGCGAGCAAAGCAAAACAACACAAGTTAACTACCAAACCTATTAAACGCAACACAACACAATAAACATAACACTAAGGAGATTCACAACACCATATCAGAGAGCCTCAAACAAAAAAATTTACTTCACAGGAAGACTTTTACAGAGAAGACTGACTATAGTAAGAGTTCTAAACATGCAATAGCATATCAAAGACTGTTCCTTTCAATGAAATTTTCTACATAAAAGCAGAAACTTAAAAACACCCAATCGCATCCACAGACAACGAAGCAACGAAACTCTCGATGGAACATGTAGCCAAAAGCAGAGCAAGAAAGTACCTCAGTAGCACCCAAGTTCTCGATTACGGGAATCTTGTTACCTTCAACCCCCAACAAACAGAAGATTAGCGAGAGCAGATGCGTTCAGAAACCCTAGAGCAGTAACGGGAAAGATAACAAGCTTACCTCGCAGCTCCAACTCTCTCTCCTTAATGGCATTGAAGAAGTGGGGACTATTCCAGATCAAATCAGCCGTGAGCTTCACCATTAGGGTTTTTACACCTTCTCCCTAGCTCTCTGCTTTTCGCATTCAGATGAAAGAGAGAGTGTGTCGAAGAACTCATAAACACACACATCTCTTTATTACAGCCCATTGGGCTTTTGGGTTGGCCCATACAAAAATACCGTCATCTTTAATTTAGCAAAAAACAGTTTAAAACAAAAGGACACGTATTCGATTAAATCTTTTCTTCCTCAACCCTAATCTAGGGTTACTCTCTATCTCTCGCTTACTCCTCTGTTCTTCGTTCTGCCGATTTTGCGCGAGCATTACCTTCACAAGCTTGAGTGCGTTAGGGACAACCAAAACAGTTAAGCGAAGATGAGGATTATGATCAAAGGAGGTGTGTGGAAGAACACCGAAGATGAGATCCTCAAAGCCGCCGTCATGAAGTACGGCAAGAACCAATGGGCTCGGATCTCCTCTCTCCTCGTTCGCAAATCCGCCAAACAGTGTAAAGCTCGCTGGTACGAATGGCTCGATCCTTCTATCAAAAAGGTTAGTTAGATCTAACAAACTAATTAATTCTAGATCTCGTCTCTTAGGAGGTTGTTAGATTAGAAACTTAGTTATTAAGTTTGTGTGTGATGTTTAATACAGACTGAATGGACCAGAGAAGAAGACGAGAAGCTTCTTCATCTCGCGAAGCTTTTACCTACTCAGTGGAGAACTATCGCTCCCATCGTTGGACGTACACCATCACAATGCCTCGAGAGATACGAGAAGCTTCTCGACGCCGCGTGCACTAAAGACGAGAATTACGAAGCTGCGGATGATCC